CCCCCCTTCCCTTAACGGGAAATGTGGGTCCGTCGCTGTTCTATAGTCGCGTTAATGTGCGGCCCAGTATGTGATTGCACACAGTATGCACTTTGCGCGTCAAATCTACGTTTCCTCGGTTATTTTGCTTGCATCTTTTTGAGAACTGTTTTTTCTTGACGCTGCAGGATTTACTTCTATAGAAATAAGAATGCGTTACAAATTTGACAAATTCTTTTTTTGGTTTTTGTCTTACATGGAGATTGCACACTTGTGCCCAGCAAGATCTAGATCTTACGCCCGATGCGCACCTCGTGTGCAATTGCGCATATTAGTTACGGATTGCCTCGACCATAGATTCCAGGCAACTTTTCTCACAAGCCGTATTATCATGTGCTTTTAGACCACTAACATTGACAAACATCACTTTTCGAATTGCTACCACTTAGTATTATTTGCGCTCAAAGCTTTCGACCACATTAGTGTCTGCTCGCAATCGTTAATACTAAGCCAATACAAAAGCTGGTGTGCTTATGGTCACACACTCTATTCCGATTGAAATTTAGTGGAAAAGTGGGGGAGGAAGATATTTCAAGCTAAGTAAAATAGCTTCGCTTGATCTGCGCTGATCTGTGGGGATGAGCCCGTGAAACTCTGAGTCATTTACTATTATCAGATTGGATCGCATGTTGAAATTCACAGGATCTGCTTTACTTTACTAAACTGATGCCATTTTCACGCAGAAGGAATAGGCAGGGTAGGAGATCTTTGTATGAGTTGGAAATAAGGTGAAGGAAAATCTTCGAAAGATGAAACAGATGGTCGAGATGGTCGAGAATTTGGAACCGTCTCTCTGGCATAGCCACTACGGTATGCTACGTAACCTTGCGCGGCTTAAAGGTGGAAATAGCCCGTTCTTGTTGGGACTAATCAGCAAGCAATGAGAACTTTTTTCTGCTATAGTTTCTCTAGCAAAAATGAGCGCAAATTACAGTGTTGTTAAAACTTAATCTGAATTTGCATGGGGATACGGTAGTTTACTGTACATGAGGAAAAAGTGCCTGCATAGCCCAAATATCAAATGTTGCACAGGGATACGGTAGCATACGGTACATCAGTAAAAAAGTGCCTGCGTGTTTGTATTTTGAAGACTTGCAAAAATATACCGTCCACATAACTTATGTTGTATGCAGATAGGGGATACGGTAGCGTATGGTGTGAGGGAGCAAAAGGGCCCTTATCATGAAGAAAATTATGCGGGAGTTTTTGGTCATCAAATATTGTACCGTAATATGTTAGCATATGATATGGGTACAAAAACGCCTAGTAAAAGGAAATTCTGCGAAAGTTTTCAGTCCACATATTAGATGCTGCAGGAGGATAGGGTAGCATACGGCAAACGCACAAAAGGGTCTTTTGATAGTGAAAGTTATGCGGATATTTTCAGTCCACCTACCAACTGTTGTTCGACTCGTGCTGTGAACAGGGTGCTCCTTCATCGGAATCTGTTCGATTCTGGTAAGTTTCTGCGACCTAGTTAAAGAAGTCAACTGACTATCAATTCCCTTTTTAGGTTCGATTTCCTCGACTATATGATGCGAGTAATCGAAGACGATCGAACTGTATATGGACCAAGTCTGAATCAGTTCCCACAAGAGCTTAATGTTGGCAATTTATCGGCCGGAACACTTTGGACATTATACAAAATGGACCTGAAAATGGCGCTGGAAGGTGGGAAAATTTGATTTTTTGGGAAATTTTTCGAAATATTGTAAATTTTGTTTGCAGAGCATGCGACAACCAAGAAATGTCCAACACCAGAGTACATGAATTTGTACTTTAAAGTAAAAGGGTTCTACTTCAAATATGTGTCCGAGTTACCACAGTACAAACAATCGATACCAGAATTTCCAGCGTGAGTTCAAAATTCATCTTCATTTTTCGTTTTCTGTAGTTCTTTTCTCTAATCCTACGAGTTTTTATTTCTTACGTACGCAAGCAGCTTGATATACTAGGTATTATAGTCATTATAATAATTATTCTTGATGACATTTTTTACGACCCCAGATACAAGGAAAATGAATGAGAATTTTTCCTTAGAAAGTGGAAAACTTCGCAGTTCTCCTTCTAGAATAATGAGTCTTCGTTTCACTTTTTATAGAACTTTTCCTGAAGTTAATGGCTTCCCCTGCAGAACCCATATTGCCTTCATAATAAGCGCTTTCCTTTCGCTGATGACGCCTAACCAAGCGATTACCTCATTCCCTCCTGCGCTTGGCTAAGCCTGCTTATCCCTACCTCCCCACACATCTTGGCCGTCTAGAAATAGAATACACCTAGATGACTCAAGATAAGCTGCAGATGCAACCCGTAATTGCGTTTTTCTTCGAGTTGTTTACGTTTCGTTGAGAATACATTCAATTAGTTACGTAACTAGCCTTGGATAAAGGGGTAGTGAATGCTGTAATCATGTCGATGGCCTGGAATGCTTTGCAAAAGAACTTTTTGAAAAGCTTTTACCTAGTATTTATCTTTTTGAAAACTTTTGTCTGCATAAATCTGTCCAATATCAATTGCCTATCGTGTATAAGTGAGAGACGGCCTCTTTTGCACCAGTACAGTTTGCTTAGGCAAAGCGTGACTTTAATATAGGATACTTATGTGATCGTCGCATGGCGACATATTGCGATAAAGAACTCGCCAATTACATAACA